AGAGACCTGGACCCTACGAAAACAGGATCAGTACGCTCTTCGGGTCTCTCAAAGAGGAATCGAAAGAGCTATGCTTAGAATATCACGATTCACTCAAATGAGAGATAGAATCCGGAGTTCTGATCTTCGTCAACGTTCCAGAATCAGGGATGCTGTCTCATTTGCCAAGGCATCAAAAATCAGATGGGCTGGACACGTAATGAGGTTTACATACAACCGCTGGACTAGAGCCATTACTGATTGGATTCCACGGGACATCAAAAGATCACATGGACGCCTACCTACAAGATGGTCAGACTTCTTCGTCAAGACCCTGAATGATCAGTTTGAGGCTCTGCATGTTCCTAGAACGAACAGATACCACTGGGCTATGCTAGCACGCAACCAGGATGAATGGAGACATTACTGGCACCCGCTCGAGTAAATTGATGAATAATAGGGATTAAGTGATTAAGTGATATATATATATATATATAATGTGTCTCAAAACATTGAAACATACAAAACATTGAAACATAAGTGATATATATATATATAATGTGTTTCAAAACATTGAAACATACCTCAGACTAAATGTGCCTCATATTTCAATCTTTCAGTGTGCCTGTGTTTTAATGTTTCCGTATTATTCCTTGCTTAGGTGACTTTTTTTCAAGGTTTTGAATTTTCCCTGCAGTTGTTGTACTGTTATCTCTTTGTCCCTTTGTTGGTTGTGGGGTTAAATTTGGAGAAGTCTTTACTGACACCAGGCTGTCCTGTTGGCAAGAACAGCAGCCTTACAGCAGAACCACTGGCCTTTTATTAGAAAAAGCTTCATTGTGATCCCCTGTGTCTTTTGTAAGCACCTGCAAAACTTGTTCTGCCCATCAACATTCACATCCTGTTCAAGCGCTGCAAAGCAGGTGTTGTTACAGAAGCGAGAAAAAGTGGTTATTGCAGGAGTACATGAAGCAGACAATTAGTCATCTTTAACCATATCCCATTAGGACCCCCTGTCTGTTGTTCCTGTTTGCTATTCTTGACGGGCTTTCGGGCCCTTGCAGAAAGTTCGGTGTATTTACGAAATGACGCAGTTAAGTCAGCTCAAACAAAATAAACTTTAAAAAAATGAAACTTCTTGATCTTTGAAGCCTTAAGCATAAGAGAAAGAACACATGGAGGGTGCGGGATCCCGGAGGAAAAAAAAAAAGAAAAAACAGGTTCCAAAAAGAGCCAAGTTCACCCGCAAGTTCCAGATGGAGTAGGCGCCGCATCTCGCCTCCCCCAGATGGAACCCCGGTGACCAGAAGCCTCTACAAACACAGCTCGAGTATGCGGGAACGAGGACTTTTTCTCAAAACCGCGCGGCCGCGCGACATCTCTCTATATACAGAGTGATCAATGAGAAGTAAACCACCCAATCTTTCTCCCTGAAAGTCAGAGTTAAGTTTGGAGCACGGCCACAGCCCCAGAAACACAAGGACTTAATGCAGAACCCAGCAGCTTAGAGCAGAAAAGTGAAAGGACTATGCGTTAATCCAGGCCATCAAGTCTGCCGGAGGGGAAAGGGTGTTGCCCCATTCGCCCTCTCTTCTCTGGAAAGAAGGATGGCGGCCGCATGGGAGCCTTGTGGACAGCAGGTATGAGCCGGGGGTGTGGGGGCGACTAAAACCTCATGGGAAGGGGGGCGTTCCGGTCCGTCCTTCACGCCCTACCGAGGTCACCAGTTGCCCCCCACGAGCGGCTCTCCAGCACGGCCACAGCCCCAGAAGCACAAGGGCTTAATGCAGAACCCAGCAGCTTGGAGCAGAAAAGTGAAAGGACTATGCGTTAATCCAGGCAATCATTTCTGCCCAGAGGGGAAAGGGTGTTGCTCCCTTCCGCCCTCCTCCCTCTGGAAAGAAAGATGGCGGCCACATGGGAGCCTTGTGGACAGCAGGTATGAGCCGGGGGTGTGGGGGCGACTAAAACCTCATGGGAAGGGGGGCGTTCCGGTCCGTCCTTCACGCCCTACCGAGGTCACCAGTCACCCCCCACGAGCGGCTCTCCAGCACAGCCACGGCCCCAGAAGCACAAGGACTTAATGCAGAACCCAGCAGCTTGGAGCAGAAAAGTGAACGGACTATGCATTGACCCAGGCCATCAAGTCTGCCGGAGGGGAAAGGGTGTTGCCCCATTCGCCCTCTCCTCTCTGGAAAAAAAGATGGCGGCCACATGGGAGCCTTGTGGACAGCAGGTATGAGCTGGGGGTGTGGGGGCGACTAAAAACTCATGGGAAGGGGGGCGTTCCGGTCCGTCCTTCACGCCCTACCGAGGTCACCAGTTGCCCCCCACGAGCGGCTCTCCAGCACGGCCACAGCCCCAGAAGCACAAGGGCTTAATGCAGAACCCAGCAGCTTGGAGCAGAAAAGTGAAAGGACTATGCGTTAATCCAGGCAATCATTTCTGCCCAGAGGGGAAAGGGTGTTGCTCCCTTCCGCCCTCCTCCCTCTGGAAAGAAAGATGGCGGCCACATGGGAGCCTTGTGGACAGCAGGTATGAGCCGGGGGTGTGGGGGCGACTAAAACTTCATGGGAAGGGGGGCGTTCCGGTCCGTCCTTCACGCCCTACCGAGGTCACCAGTTGCCCCCCACGAGCGGCTCTCCAGCACAGCCACGGCCCCAGAAGCACAAGGACTTAATGCAGAACCCAGCAGCTTGGAGCAGAAAAGTGAACGGACTATGCATTGATCCAGGCCATCAAGTCTGCCGGAGGGGAAAGGGTGTTGCCCCATTCGCCCTCTCCTCTCTGGAAAGAAAGATGGCGGCCACATGGGAGCCTTGTGGACAGCAGGTATGAGCCGGGGGAGTGGGGGCGACTAAAACCTCATGGGTCGGGGGGCGTTCCGGTCCGTCCTTCATGCCCTACCGAGGTCACCAGTTGCCCCCCACGAGCGGCTCTCCAGCACGGCCATGGCCCCAGAAGCACAAGGACTTAATGCAGAACCCAGCAGCTTGGAGCAGAAAAGTGAATGGACTATGCGTTGATCCAGCCCATCAAGTCTGCCGGAGGGGAAAGGGTGTTGCCCCATTCGCCCTCTCCTCTCTGGAAAGAAAGATGGCGGCCACATGGGAGCCTTGTGGACAGCAGGTATGAGCCGGGAGTGTGGGGGCGACTAAAACCTCATGGGAAGGGGGGCGTTTCGCTCCGCCCTTCACGCCCTACCGAGGCCACCAGTTGCCCCCCACGAGCGGCTCTCCAGCACGGCCACGACTCCAGAACACAGAAACCAATTTCTTAACTATCTGACTTTCAGTAGAAATACTTCCAGGGTCAATAAGTAAAATAGCAGAAATCCAAAACCAACATTTAATTCTTGAACCCAGCTGTAGAAAGCAAATCACTTCACAATGCTTTTTCAGCATGTCTGATTTGGGGGGGGGGTAAACTCTAAATAATAGTGGTGAATCTTTTATTGAAACAATCTAATCAAAGCGGATAGAGTGTTAACTAGAATTCATCTGCCTCACAGGGACGGGGAGGGGTGGGGGGTGGGGTTTTATTGGGGTTCTTCATGGGAAAAAATAAGTATTGGTAAAGGGAAATGTGTTTGATATTTGCATGACTGAGACATAAACCTGAAAGCTTTGTAACCTTTCCCACAGTGATTCAATAAATAAATAAAAAAAAAATGAAACTTCTTATTCCTCTTTCAGTCTCCCTTTTTTTTTTTTAACACCTTTTGATGTATTAGCACAGCGGGCAGGGCATTTGCCTTGCACACGGCCAACCAGGCTTTGATTTCTCCGTCCATCTCGGAGAGCCCAGCAAGTTCCCGAGAGTATCGTGCCCACATGGCAGAGACTGGCAAGCTACCTATGGCAAATTCTATATGCCAAAAACAGTAACAACAAGTCTAACAATGGAGATGTAACTGGTGCCCGCTCGAGCAAATCAGCGAATAACGGGAGGACAGTGCTACGACAGTTCTACAGTGCTATAGTATTATCTTAATGATTTGGTTGTTCCAATATTGATGGCACATATATTAATGATTGCTACATCCTTCTATAAAATGATTTACTTATATTTATAAAAATAGTTCTTTATGTTAGTGGAAACATTCCCCAGTCTGGTGGTTCTTGAACTGGGTTGTCAAAGAGTTGGATGACTGAACTGGATTTAGTGAGCTTCGAATAAATTGAAATTTTTATTTTATTTGGGTTGAGGTAATGTGGTTACAATATTGTTAACAGCATTGTTAACGTGCTTTTGCTAAACTGCACCTTCACTGTCACCAGCGTCAAAGTCCCTCCACCACCATCCTTAGGTCTCTTCTAGTCAGCCTCTTCCTTCCGCTCCAGCTGCCCTCAGCAGCCACTATTAGGTCACCTCAGTGCTGTGTTTTGTTTCTCCAAGTCAAGGAGCAGATAAATATCTGAAAGCGGAAAATCTGAACCATCGTTCACTTGGATGGCCCAGGGCCAGAGTCCTCAAAATGCAGCAGGAAGGGATACCAAGCCTTCTTTGGGGTGGGTCCAAGTTGTGACCTAGGACTTTGGGGGTGAACTGGGGAGCTGACAGGGGCCATTAGGATGCCAAAGTTCCTGTTCAGACGCTGTTATACATGGAAGGTGAATGAGTGGCCAGATGTAAAAAGATATTTTTATTGAGATTTTTGGCCTGGTCAGCAATGTGCAATGAAAGCTCACTATACTATCTCTGGCCCTTGTGAGTGAGGTGTTAAAGTTAGTATTTCTCAAGGGCTTTAGGCCATGGTCAAAAGGAACTGGAACTGGTGTATGCAACACTCCAGGGATCTTCTGGAACTCCAGGAGGGGCCCAGGTCTGCATGCCGAACACCCAACTCAGAGGTGAGTGAGAAACCTCCCAGATCTCTCTGCATTTGATACAACCGGCAGGACCAAGCTCAGGGTCACCGTCACTGTCACTGTTATCCCATTAATCATTGATTTTTTTCTTGAGTAGGCGCCAGTAGAGTCTCCATTTGTCCCAGCCCTGAGATTTTAGCATTATAAACTTTAAGCCCTCTCTCTGCGGATGCGGCACACCAGCTGGATGTCTTTGGGCATAATGGTGACACACTTGGTGTGGATGATGCAAAAGTTGGTGTCCTCGAAGAGCCCCATCAGATAGGCTTCACAAGCCTCCTGCAGTGCCATGATTGCCAAGCTCTGGGAGTGCAGGTCAGTCTTGAAGTCCTGCGTGATCTCGTGCACCAGCAGCTGGAATGGCAGCTTGTGGATAAGCAGCTCGGTGGACTTCTGGTAGCGGCAGATCTCACGAAGCACCACGGTGTCGGGCAGGTAGCAGTGAGGCTTCTTATTACCTCCCGTGGCTGGCACGCTCTTGTGGGCTGCCTTGGTGGCCAGCTGCTTGCGGGGCACCTTCCCACCTGTTGACTTGCGTGTCGTCGGATTAGTATGAGCCCTCTTGTTTTTTCCAGCTCAGCTAGAGACTCCTTCAGGGTTAGGGAAATGAGACCCATTTATGCTACTGTTGTTGGCATATTTGGTATGTCACGGGGAGCTTGCCAGGCTCTGCCATGTGGGCTGGATACCCTTGGTAGCTTGTCAGGCTCCAAGTTCAGGGTACAGAGAAATTTTTGAATTTGTAACTAAGAGCACAGTTTTTAAATCATCTGCCTGGGAGTTCACAATCTCTTTCTTGGGTCCCACAATTAACACCAAACCACTTTTGTCCATGGGCACATAGTTATTGTTGTTGAAGGGGCATTGGACGAGTATTTTTCTATTTAGCAATCATAAAAGTCACTCTGTTCCAAAAGAACCAAATTCAGAATCACAGTATATCTGTTCTTCTGTGTTCATTGGATCATATTAGTTGCAATAACCAAAAGGTTAAAATGTAAAAAATTATGCACAGGTGAGTGGATAAAGCAAATGTATATCTATCTATCCATCATTATATTGGAATCTTATTTGCCTATTCACGGTCACGGTCCTCCCGTTGTTCATCAATTTGCTCGAGCGGGCCCAGTAACGTCTCCATCGTGAGACTTGTTGTTACTGTGTTTGGCATATCGAATACTACACGGGGAGCTTGCCAGGCTCTGCCGTGCGGGCGAGATACTCTCGGTAGCTTGCCGGGCTCTCCGAGAGGGGCAGAGGAATCGAACTCCGGTTGGTCATATTGGCTGCGTGCAAGGCAAACGCCCTACCGCTGTGCTATCGCTCCAGCCCTATTAAGGAAGGAAATCCTGACACACACACTAAAATACACAGTGAACTTTGAAGACTATGATAAGTGAACTAAGACAGTTTTGTAGGATAATTATTGCAGGATTTTAAATACATCACCGTTGATAGTAGTCAAGGCATAGAAAGAGTTAATGAAATGGTGAGTCCCAGGGAAGGAAGAGTCAATGGGGAGTGACTTTTCAGTGTCTGCAGAGTTTTGTCCCACATGATGAAGAGTTTCTGGAGATGTGTATTTTTTAATCATATTTTATTCTATTATATTTTAATTTATAAAATATATCTATTATACTCTATTATAATTTACTCTAAAATATTTAAGTGTGGATATTTCATACAGTGCATGTATAGAGCATAAAATTTCCAATAAGATGTTATAAAATATTGTTTGCTGAGGGAAAAGGTATAAACATCTCTATTTTTATCACAATACAATTATGAAAAAGCAAACACTGAGTACCTTGGACCCACCTTTTCCATTTGATTGTTCTACAGGCTGCTAAAATTAACCATTTTATTCATTTACTATTCTTACATTGTTTCTGAAAATATTAGTGCGTGTCTAAATAATGTGCTTGATTGAATCATTATAATTTGAAAAACTTTGAACCCCTCCCCACCCCCACTTTAGCCTGACTTCCTCAACGAAGAGTTTTGTGATCTGATCTCTCCTATGAGCAGGAAGCTCTGGTTTATCCCCCTCTCATACTTGTTTCTCCCTGAATCCTGGCAGCTCGCACCAAAGCTATGGGCACGGAAGTGTGTGACGTCAGTGGGAGGGACCATTCTCCCAGCCAGCTGTTCCTTTTCATTGGTTTTATACTAGAAACCCTACAGTAATCTATAAACTGAAGTAGCTCATAAAACCTAAGTTTTCTAGTGAACTGGCTTTACTTGAGCTGAAGGCAGTCACTCCAAATAGTTTCCCTTCAAACAGAAAAAAGTTCCTCTTTGAAATATGCTCACTTCCAAGCATTATCTGGGAAATAAAGGTCATCACTATCAAACTTGTTGTGGAGGTGGGTTTACTGGATTTACTATCCTCAAAGCAAGGTTCACCCCGTGACCCCCTTCAAACTAGGAAGAGGCATTAGAAACAAAAGAAAACTCGAGTACCTGTCCCCTCTTTAATTTCCACTGAACTCCCCCCACTGCCAAAGAACCCTTCTGAGTGCCTGGGTGTGCAATCCTCATTTTAGACACAAGACAGACAGACAGAATGGGAAATTTAATATTATCCTGTGGACCAGTTATCTTACCGTGTGAATAGGAAAAAAAATTAGTGGTGAACGATTTCAGTTGGACAGAAAGGAAAACATATTGATTTATAGAATTAAATGGCTATGAGTGACTTGTTATTTCCATACATGCATATATAGAGCATAACATTTCCAATAAGATGATAAAAAACATTGTTTGCTGAAGGAAAAGGTATAAACATCTAAAAGAATGTACTACATAAAAGAAAGAAATAGTTTTAATGTAAAGGTAAAGGTAAAGGTAAAGGCCCTCCCGTTGATGGTCGATTTGCTCGAGCGGGCCCAGTCACGTCTCCATTGGAGACTTTGTTGTTACTGTGTCTGGCATATCGAATACTCTCGGTAGCTTGCCAGGCTCTCCGAGAGGGGCGGAGGAATCGAACTCGGGTCGGCCATGTTGGCCGCTTGTAAGGCGAACGCCCTACCCGCTGTGCTATCGAAATCTAACACTTGGAGAGTAGTTATGATCAAGAAGAGACCGCTATGACAATAATAGCTGGGAATGATCACTCTGGACAAGATGTGAGGGTTAAAAGTAGGTACAGGATATCCTTGATTACCTTTCAGTATCAATATTGCAAACCACAATGCCCAAAAGGAAAGAGAGAGACAGAGAGAGAGAAAGAGAGAGAGAGAGACAGAGAGATAGAGAGAGAGAGAGAAGAAAAGTGCTTGCTATAGAGTCAGTCAGGTGCTGGAAAATGAACACTGGTGGAGGAATGGGTGTTGGAATTCTGTACGACTGAAATTCAATCATGAATGGCTTTGTACTGCTCTAAAAATTTATAAAAAAATTAAGATAAAGATGAGTTAAAAAAATCTAACACTTGGAGGGTTAAATTTACTCTAATTTATGCCTCTAGTGTGGATGAGCTGGTCGTTGCAGCTCATTTATCCTGGTGGGACTTTGCCCACTTAAGTGGTTTCAACTCACTATTCTATTTTTTTTTTTTTTTTGCTTTCTGGGTCACATCCGGCGATGCACAGGAGCTACTCCTGGTTCATGCACTCAGGAATTACTCCTGGCGGTGCTCAGGGGACCATATGGGATGCTGGGAATCGAACCTAGGTTGGCTGCGTGCAAGACAAACGCCCTACCCACTGTGCTATTGCTCCAGCCCCTCACTATTCTATTTTGAACTCATTAAATAATCAGAGGATAATTCACCTCAATTTTTCTCTCACTATATAAATGCCCACACTTTGAATATTTGCTATGAACTTGGGTTTTGACATTTTCCACTTTCAATACTCTGAATCTCACCAAACAATGTGAGTGAGGGCTTTCCAGAATACCTTGCATTCATGTTGCATTTCATTTTGAATTCATTTTTGATAGTTGCATGTTCGGAAACATTTAATGTTGCCAATTTCTTCTTGATCCTGATGTAAGCTAAGGGGCAGCATGTGTGCTTATGACCCAAGTTTAAAAAGCTGAACTATAAACAATTTCTCCCCAAATTCATTATCTTGATTGAAAATACATTCCAGAGAATCTGCCTTATGCAACAAGAGAGCACCCGAGGGTGACTCTGGGCAGAGACTATGGCAGGGGCGGTGTTCCCGACTGTCCTGCCATTTCAACACATTGCTCAGAGGTGGTGGTAAGAATTAGGAACCTCCTCTCCACATCACTGAATGAAAAGTTGCTGCATGAGCTCCCATTTGACCCAGCAATACCACTCCTGGGAATATATCCCAGAGAGGCAAAAAGGTACAGTCGAAGTGACAGCCGCAATTGTCTGTTCATTGCTGCACTCTTTACAATAGCCAGAATCTGGAGAAAACCTGAGTGCCCGAGAACAGAGGACTGGTTAAAGAAACTTTGGGAATGGAGCGATAGCATGGCAGGTAGGGCGTTTGCCTTGCACGCGGATGACCCGGGTTCCATCCCCAGCATCCCATATGGTCCTTCAAGCACCACCAGGAGTAATTCCTGAGTGCAGAGCCAAGAAACTTTGGTACATCTACACAATGGAGTACTATGTAGCTGTTAGAAAAGATGAAGTCATGAAATTTACATACAAGTGGTACTACATGGAAAGTATTATGCTAAGCGAAATGAGTCAGAAAGAGAGGGACAGACATAGAAAGATTGCATTCATCTGGGGAACATAAAGTAACAAAATAGGAGACTAACACCCAAGAATGGCCGAGATTAGTACCAGGAATTTTACTCCATGGCTTGGAGGCCAGCCACACATGCTAGGGGAAAAGGCAGCTCAGATAGAGAAGGGAGCACCAAATAAAGGGTGTTGGGAGGATCCTCCCAGGATGGGAGATGCATGCTGAAAGTAGACTATAGACCGAACATGATTGCCACTCAATGCTTCTTTTGCAAGCCACAGCACCCAAAAGAAGAGAGAGAACAAAAGGGAATTCCCTGCCACAGGGGCAGGGTGGGATGGGGAGAATTGGGAGGTGCGAGGGATACTGGGATCAGTGATGGTGGAGAATGGACAGTGGTGGAGGGATGGGTACTCGATCATTGTATAACTGAAACCCAAGCACAAAAATTTGTAAGTCTACAACTGTACCTCATAGTGTTTCACTAATAAGAATTAAAAAAATATTTACACATAAAAATTGCTGCATGAAAGGTTGCATGTATATAATGAAATAACATTCACCAATGAAAAGAAAACAACTCAGACCATATATTTTGTTTTAGGCACCATCATTGACAATGCTGTGGACAGGGTTTCATGCACACACCTTTCTAACACCACACCTTTTTTTCCCTGAGTGCCTGCCTCCTCCATTGTCTCAGGGCACCCCTCTTGTCCCTCTGTGGCCCCTGTCAGAGTCAGCTCAGTTCTGTAGACCAGGATTCTAAATGCAGTACCAGTGATAGCAGTCAAGGCATAGAAATAGTTAATAAAATGTAGAAATAGTTAATAAAATAGTGGTATCTTGATAATTAGTTATTTCCTTACTGTGTGTGTGTGTGTTTTT